AGGAATCAATGGAGTTGACAGACCCTGAAGATCCTGATTATGAGACGGAAAGTGATGTAGTCAGTGAAAATCCTGATTATGAGATGGAGATTAATGGAGACCCTGAAAATCCTGATTATGAGATGGAGATTAATGGAGACCCTGAAAATCCCGATTATGAGATGGAAAGTGATGGAGACAGTGTGAGATCTGAAGATAACCAAGAACAAAAAGTGAGTTCAACATCAGACAAATCTAAGCACCAAAAGCGAAGAGTTGAGAAATCGGACCCAACGACTGAAATTATTTCAAGCACAGTCAATGTGGATGAAGAAGTTCATGTTCAGCATTCAAAAAACAAAGAGGGAATCCGTGTATGGGATAAACAACATTTTTGTTTTTACTGCCAGAAAGGATTTACAAATATTACTAAACACTATTTGGGAGTGCATGCAAAAGAAAAAGAAGTACAGCAGATTGAATCTCATCCACTAAATTCAAATAATAGAAAACTTGCACTTTTGAAACTTAGAAATTCCGGTGACTATCAACACAATTGTGCAGTTTTGAAAACAGGACATGGAACTCTTGTAACATTTACAAGAAATTGGAATGAGGCATCTGCCAAGCAGTTTCTGCCATGTCAGTACTGCTTGGGTTTTTTCCTGAAATCTTGTTTGTGGAGGCACATTAAGAATTGCCCTTTTGCTCCAGAAGAAAAAGAACAGAAATATAGGAAAGTCTCTTCACAAGCTTCACTTTTGCTTCCAACCAGCACAGAGGTTAGTCATGGGCTTAGAGAGAATGTTTTGAATAGGATGTCTGCGGATGAGGTTAGCATAGCAGCAAGAAATGACACCATCATTGTTAAAATTGGAGAAAAACTCTACCAGAAACATGGGCACTTAACTCACTTATACACACATGTTAGCCAGAAAATGAGAGAATTGGGAAGACTATTAATTTCACTGAGAGAAATTGATGAAGACATTAATTCCCTTGATGATGCTATCCAGCCCCAGAAATTCCCAACTGTAGTGAAATGCACAAAAACACTTTGTGGGTTCAAGGACAGTACAAATTCATATGCAAACCCATCATTGGCTCTAAAGTTGGGTCATTCTTTGAAGAAATGTGCAAAAATAAAAAAATCTATGGCCCTGATTGAAGGAAGTGAAGAATTGAGCAAAAATGCAGATGCATTTTCTACTCTTTGTGAAAATGAATGGACCGATTCCATTTCTAGCTGTGCTTTACAAACTTTAATGGCAAACAAAGTGAACAAAGGTCAAGGACTTCCTTTAACAGAGGACATCCAAAAACTGCAAAGCCTTTTAAAGGAAAAGACAGAGAAACTAGTTGTTTTGTTACAGAAATCAGTAACAAAATCTGTGTGGGATGATCTGAATCAGGTGACATTAGCTAGACTGGTGATGTTTAACAGGAGAAGAGGAGGTGAAGCAGAAAGAATAACTGTTCAAGCTTTTTGTGAGAAACGATCAAAGAATGACTCTCTGAAAGAAATAGAAGATTCGTTAAAACCTCTTGAAAGACTTCTGTGTAAAACATTCTCAAGAGTTGAAATTCGAGGGAAACGAGGTCGTACTGTTCCTATCCTGCTAACTCCAGCACTTGAGAGAAGCATTAATTTGCTTATTGAAACCAGAAAACTGGCTGGTGTGAATCCAAAAAATGTGTATGTCTTTGCAAGATCTAGCTTTGATTCACTGAACCCTATTCGAAGTTCAGATTGCCTTCGAAAATTTGCATTAGAATGTGGCGTTACAAAAGCTGCTAATATAACGAGTACCAAACTGAGGAAGCACGTAGCAACTGTTTCCCAAATACTCAATTTGGAAAAGAATGATCTGGAAATCATGGCAGGCTTTCTTGGACATGACATAAGGATTCATAATTCATTCTACCGACTTCCAAATGACACTCTGCAGATTGCAAGAATGGGAACAATTTTAACTGCTTTTGACAATGGTGACATCTCAAAGTATAGTGGGAAGTCTCTGGATGAAATTGCCTGTGAAGGTATTTAAAATTTTTTATTATTTGTTAAAACGAAAAAAGTCATTTTAAACATACACATAGTAAAAAGAAAATGGAGTGAAGTAGGAAGTATTTGTGATTTAGTTGCTAAAATACAGTTAAGTGAAGTTAATTATTGTACTTGGATGGTATAAACAGGATAAAAATGAGGCTGTTTATTGTAGACATAAACTTGGATGGGGATGTTGATGATGATGATGATGATGATGAAGTGGAAGATGATGATTACAATGCAGAGGAAAGTGAAGCAGTCAGAGAAAAGGAAATGGAACCAAAAGCTCCTAAACCCTCAAGAGGTAAATCCCATATAATCAGCAGTTGATAATTTGAGAACCATGAATACATGTACTTCCTATCCTATATGCTGATTTTTTTTTTTCATTTTTAGATTTCTTAAGGTGGCTCATTACACCCACAGTTTATTTTAGATTTCATAATAGTACCAATTATAATGTAAATGTCAAATATCAAAATGGAGGTATTGATATATTAAATATTTTTAGTGATTTTTTTTCACTTTTTTTTCAAATTTTAGTGAAATGTTTTTTTTTTCAAGATTATTACTACCAGAAATTCAATTCAGAACCTTCAGTGTCAAATGATGGACATATTGTTTAGACAAGTACACACAATGAAAAAAACTCATAATTACTAGAAAAATAGTTTTCTTTTAAAAATAATGTCATTATCTGTTTAATCTTTTCATGAAATATTAGGAAATGAGCTCTAAAGAGACAAGGAATGTATTTTAAGGAATTTTGTATGTGATCAATTGAATGAAGAATGTTTTAATGGAATGAAAAGTCCAATTAGAAAAAATATATGGTATAAAAAGTCCACCTGCAAGAGTTATCTTTCCTAATTTCCTAAGACTCAAAACACAAAGAACATTTGAACAATGCTTTAAATCATTTAAGCAAGTATATAAATCAACACCAGCAAAGTAAATATTGCAAGTACACTGTAAATAGTATTTTAAACAAATTTGTAGATTTTAACTCGAATTTCCTCAATACATACTGACTGATAGAGCTCATTGCTCGATTACAACATTGCACATTACTTGTTTGGCAAAGACTTGGCTGAGCTGATGTTTTTTTTTGCTTTCTGCCTAAAAAAATTCTTCTTGGTTTATGCACATTAAATCCGTTACTTTGTTTTCATTGTTTACAGGATATCGAACGTTTCATCAGTTTAAAGCGTTTTAAGGTTTCGTCAAAGGTCAACATGTCTAAAAATTATTTTTACAATAGCTCCTAAACTATGTGTGGTATAAAGTCAAAACCTTTACAGTTTATAAACATATCATTGATTAATAGATAGAAAGTATCACATGATAACAAATATTTTTAAAAATATTTTTTTGAAGAAAAATTGTATCAGAAAATATGCATATTTTTTTAAAAAATGCACCTGCTTTATTCTGTCCTTTTTGTGAAAACCATCATTGCAGAAATAATATATGCTTATCACTAAAGGGCAAGTTGGACGTGAATGGTCTCTGGAAGGCTGTTATTGAAAGCATGACATGTATAAAGACAAGACCCCTGTAGAATCCACCATTTGCAATGTACTTTCACTTTCAAGTCTAAACATTTGGACAAAACAAACAGGGAGAACAACTTTTCAGAGACTATCCAAGTCCAACTTACCCTTCATTGATAAACATATTTTGTTTCTGCAATGATGATTTTCACTAAGATCATGGAATTAATTATGTGCATATTTTAAAAATATATGCATTTTGAAGTAGAATTTTTCTCAATATTTTTTCCAAGTATTTTTTTTTTTATCAAGTGATACTCTGTCTCTGTTAATCGATGAAAAATTGATGAACTGTAAAAGTTTTAACTTTATACCTCATATAGTTTTGGGGCTATTGTAAAAATAAATTTTTGAACATGTTGACCTTTGACGAAACCTTATAGGTTAGGGTCATATGATGAAGGTACCTGTACAATTTGTCCCCCAAAGGAACTCGTTTGAAACAATGGAGGTTTATTTTTTTGTGTAGTACGTCATCAAAAAGTGGTGTAAGGAACCTCCTTAATATATGCTTATATGGAATCTCTAACGCAAAGTGAGATACATGTGTACTTATATAGAAAACACTGACTTTGCATAGTGAGGTACATCTGTGTTTCTATTGTAAACACTTACTGCATAGTGAGGTACATGCGTGTTTCTATTGGAAACACTGACTTTGCATAATGAGGTACATGTGTGTTTATATTAGAAACACTGTCTTTGCATTGTGAGGTACATGTGTGTTTATATTTGAAATGTTGAACTTAGCATAGTGAGGTACTAATTAAATGTGTGTTTATATAGGAAGCACTGGCTTGGCATATATGAGGTACATATTTGTTATGCCCTGCCATTAATATGGCCGGGGCATATAGTGTTTGTCATGTCCGTCTTCCGTCCTTCTGTCCTTCCGTCACACTTTGCGTTTAGCTCTCACTGTCTTTGCATTGTGAGGTACATGTGTGTTTATATTTGAAATGTTGAACTTAGCATAGTGAGGTACTAATTAAATGTGTGTTTATATAGGAAGCACTGGCTTGGCATATATGAGGTACATATTTGTTATGCCCTGCCATTAATATGGCCGGGGCATATAGTGTTTGTCATGTCCGTCTTCCGTCCTTCTGTCCTTCCGTCACACTTTGCGTTTAGCTCTGCTCAAAGCTAAGTTTTAAAGAAACCATCCAAGATATTTTCATCAAACTTCATATGCTGATAGATATTGATGAGAGCTATGCAATTGCATCAACATTTTTTGACCTTGACTTTTCCTTTGACCTTGACCTCACTTTTGTTAAATTGGTGTTTAATTCAGTTTTAAACATACCATTCAGGATGGATTAATCAAAATTCACATATTGATACAAACTTGCATTGATGATGCATCTCGGGATGAACACTACCAGACTCGCTTCGGATGCTGGATCTGACCTACATTTTCCAAATAAGTGACCATATTTAAGTTTTTGGAGCAGGTCAATTCCTAAGGAATTATAAGCCCTTCTTGGACCAAACTTGCATGGATGATGCATCTAGGGATGGACACTACCAGACTTGCTTCGGATGCTGGATCTGACCTATATTTTCCAAACAAGCAATTCAGCTGCATCACTATTCAAATTATTTTGATCAAATTTTATACACATACAAATTTTCATGTTGCTTTACTAATACATCCACGGCGGGGCATTCATGTCCTATGGACATATTTCTAGTTTATTTAAGCATTGAATTCATATTTTGGGATGACTTTGGTCCTATAACACACCTGGCCATGCCGACGAATTGAATACCGGCGTTAGCGCGGTATGATAATCTGGCGGCACAGCCATGTGTGTTATAGGACCAAAGACATCCCAAAATATGAATTTATTGCTTTTATTTACATTTTCTAATTTTTCTTTATTATAATTTTTTATTTCTTTCATGTTAAATGTGATTTTAGCGCCCCTCGGTTTTGGTGTGCTTGATAAACGTAATAGCCGGTCGTGACATCAGAAAGTGTTTGTAACGTTGGAAAGTTAAATTACGCAAATAAACATTGCGAGGAAATAAAATGACAAATTAGTTTTTAATGCACTTTTGCCGTATTTCCTGTTTTTTACAAGGGTAGTTTTCTTTTAAATGAATTTGAGTAAAATCAATATACATCTTGGTATTCCTAAATACTGAAAATACTTGTAGTTCCTTATGTGTATTCTACCGCGCTGTGACAAGGATTCCGATATATTAAAGAAAGTTGAACGTCGTGGATTTCTAATGGACTTAATAAAGGAAATTACATTGAATGTAAATATATTAGAAACATTGACATTGCATAGTGAGGTACTAAATGTGTGTTCATATAGGAAACACTGACTTTGCACAGTGAGGTACATGTGTGTTTCTATTGGAAACACTGACTTTGCATTGTGAGGTACATGTGTGTTGATATATAAAAAACTGACTTTGCATAGTGAGGTACATGTGTGTTTATATATAGAAAACACCGACTTCGCATAGTGACGTACATGTGTGTTTATATAGGAAACACTGTCTTTGCATAGTGAGTTACATGTGTGCTTGCATAGGAAACACTGACTTTACATAGTGAGGTACATGTGTGTTTCTATTGGAAACATTGACTTTGCATAATGAGGTACATGTGTGTTTATATAGAAAACACCAACTTTGCATAGTGAGGTACATATGTGTTTATATAGAAAACACCAACTTTGCATAGTGAGGTACATGTGTGTTTCTATTGTAAACATTGACTTTGCATAGTGAGGTAAATGTGTGTTTCTATTGTAAACATTGACTTTGCGTAGTGAGGTATATGTGTGTTTATATTGGAAACATTGACTTTGCATAGTGAGGTAAATGTGTGTTTATATTGGAAACATTGACTTTGCGTAGTGAGGTATATGTGTACTCGTATAGGAAACACTGATTTTGCATAGTGAGGTACATGAATGATATGTTTATATAGGAAACACTTACTTTGCGTAATGATGACATGTTTGTTTATATAGAAAACACCGACTTTACATAGTGAGGTACAT